TGCTTGGCGCCAGCAAGAAACGCTGCACTTTTACCACGACCCAGTGTCAGTGAATTGGCTTTACTGCGCACACGGGGGCAGAGGGCCAGGCACCCAAATTTGGCTCGGTAACAATCTCATTCTTAGAGTCTGTTTTCAAGTATTTTAGGGCAAGTTTCGTAGAAGCAACCCTGAGGCAGAGATTTTTGTGTAATGAGTTCATGATGGGAACGCTCAGGAGGCATCTGAAAGGACCCGGGGGAAGCGGGATAGGACAGATGGGACCAGTCCTTAAACTATCACTTGGCTTCAAACTCACCCTTCCAGACCCTACTTATGATGCTCCACTTCGCCAGAGGATCCGTGTCCGGTTTGCCGATAGGAGGCACTAGAGAAACTGAAAGGCTGGAGGAGGAAGAAGGGATAAACTATTTCCTGCATGTTTCCTGTTCCGACTGCCACCCACCCGACCCAGCCTCACTTTTTTTATTCGTGCAGTAGTTCATTCCAGAAGTAACAGCTGAACGCAGTTTGAAGTTTTCCCGGCACTCACAGAACCAGCCTCATCATGGCTCATTAGAGACATCAGTGCAAGCTGACTGAGGTCCCCTCCTCAGGAACTGCGGTCCAGCCTCTTGGGACTCTGAGCTCAGAGACACCCAAGCCATCTGAGCCACATCTCTTCAGAGATCTACTTTTAAGCCCCATAAGGCCCTCTCCAAACTTCTAAATTTTAATAGTCCCAATCTCTTCTCTTGGTCCTCCAGTCCCACGGGTGATGGCTGCTTTCTCATTGTTTCCTTTCTGCCTTCTTAACTACCTCCTTAACAACCTTTTTTATGTTAATCAGTTTCCATTAAATCATCTGTTACAATAACAAATGGGTTTCCTCCCTCACCCCCAGCTTTACTGAGGTATGACTGACAAAAAAAAGTCATATATACTGAAGGTGTATAATGTGATACTTTGATAGACCCATACACTGCAAAGTGATTAACACAATCAAGCCAATTAACACAACCACCACCTCACAGAGTTACCTATTGTGGATGCATGTGTGTGTGTTGAGAACACACTTAAGATCCACTCTCTTACCAAATTTCAAATACACAATATGGTATGATTAACTATAGTCACCAGGACACCAGGGAACCACTAGATCCCAACATCTTATAATTAAAGGTTTGTACCCTTCTACCAACCTCTCTGTGTTCCTCCCCACCCCACAACAGATGAGTTTTTTGCCTACTGCTGGACTCTGGTTTGGTAATGAATTTAGACCTGAAGGCTGTCCCGAGCTCCTTGCTAGTGGGAAATGGGATACAGGTAATTCACAGCCTGAGGCAGCATTGTGATCAAGCCACGCAACACCTGGTTGATGATGATGAAGTGCCAACTGAAGCAAGTGCCCTGCGGACCACGTGGCTGCTGCACTTGACTATTAGGGCAATAAAGGTGACTACAAGGATCATGGCAGGGAAAGAACTCTCCTGGGTGCACCAGTTGGCTTAAAGCAAGAAAATAAAAAGATTAGGCATTTAAACTTTCAGCCTAAGTAATGTTCAGAGATTCAGGGACATTTTATGGCAGCCATAAACTCATAGCTGCAGGGCTGAAATTGCTGAAAAGCAAATACATCATTGAATTCTGCATGTTGCAGAATGACAATGTAAGTGGAATTCACAGTCTCAGGAACTCTTTCATGTGGAAGAAATGACGTTGATTATGAATGAGTGGAGCCAAAGCTTGGGGAGGTCTAGGTGGGCTCCAACAAAGTTGAGACTCTTGAAACTTTGGGTCACTTGGAGCCTTCCTTGCCAGTGAAAGCAGCCTGTCCTCTGATATCTGAAGAGAGTAGCCTTCCTGGGGGTTGAATAGCCTATAATAATCTCACCTGGAGCAGTCTTGCAAGGGGATAACAGTTCTCAAAGCCCACACCAATGAGCTTTGTCACCCCCTAACACTCGTTGCTGTATAACTACAGTCAGATCAGCAGCTGCAGAAGCAAGTACAATGGCTGGTCCAGGAAGAAATATTTCATATGCCAAAAGTGTTGCAAATTTTGTCCGTTTATGCCAGCAGTAAACCTCAGTGATAGATACAAGAATGCGGAGGATAGGATATGATCAGGGTGCACTTCTCAAGGAGCTTGCATTTACTTCTTTTGTCTTTGAGTGGAGGAACTGGGGATTGAACCAGGGCCTCATGTGTGAGGAGCATGTAGTCTACCACTGAGCTGCACCCACACCCTCAGGAGCCCTCTATTTAATATGTTATCTTGTACAGCTGAATGTGGCTCTGCCAGGTTTCTTGGTTGGCTGGAGCAGATGTATCATACATGATGAGCATGCCCACCACCCCACTGAGAGAGCCCCAAGAACATTCCCTCCAATAAGGCATTGAGAAACATTGGTGAGGGAAGTACTGGCAGCCTTGGACAGCTGAGTGGCCACCATTCTCTGCATATGATAGTGGGAGATGTTGCATTGAAATGAGATCCCTGATTTCAGTGGGGATGTTGGGACCTCAGGTGCTTGGGAAAGTAGGAGAGGTAAGGCCAGGGCTGGAGGAATAGAAGAGTCTCATTCATGGTTTTTAAAAGTAAAAGAGAACTATGTTCTTATATGTATATATAACAAAGCTCTAGGGGTCATCTCCTCTATGGGCATGTGGTATAGGAGGCTTCTGATTTTAGTCTACACCATATCCTGCAGTTGCGGAAATTTTTACCTTGATGATGAAGATGTGGATTGCACGGATTTTAAAAAAGAGAGAGAGATATCATTATATTATGGACTATTTCAAACATGCACTAAAGCAGAGAAAATAGTGTAACGTGCCCAGCTAAGCCATGATCAACTCATGGAAAAGCTTGTTTTGTTTATACCTCCATCCAACCCATTATTTTTTCCCCAGCTTTATTGAGGTATAATCAAAAAATAAAAATGATCATATTGAAGGTGTACAACAGGATGATTTGATATATGTTTACATTGTAAAATATTTACCACACTCAAGTAACACGTCCATCAGCTCACATAGGTACCTTTTGTGTGTGTGGTAAGAATGCTTAAGGTCTACTGTCTTAGAAAATTCAAGTATACAATACAGTATTATTAACTGTAGTCACCACCCAGCCCATTTGTTTTAAAGCACACAAGTTGTCATATAATGTAATCTGTAAATAATCGGGTGTGTTTATAAAAAATAAGGACTTCAAAAAAATATAAGTAACCACAAAACAATTAACACACCTGAAAAATGAACAATTATTCTTATATCAAGTAGAATGAATGGTTATTAAAATAATGTAAAGAATGAAAGCACTCTTCTGAAAACTGGAAACGTGCACATCTTTGTGCGAAAATGAAACGAGAATAAAAAACTTCAGTTTAGGGTGGTGTCTGGATAGCCTCCAGGGGCCCTTAATTTGTTTCTTCCACTTGCAGAAGTGAATTATACAGCTTCTTTTCATTTTTCTCCTCTCTCCGAGTTTTTAAAAGTAACCCCTTCTACCCCGGGTGGGACTCGAACCCACAATCCCTGGCTTAGGAGGCCAATGCCTTATCCATTAGGCCACCGGGGCACGTGTGAACTTGTTGACGGCAGTTTTAGACCAGTTACTCTGTCACCTCCTCGCGGTTCCTGCAGGTTAATACACAGCCTCCTGGTCCCAGCTTGCCCTTCTCTGGGCTCCTTGACATCCATATTCAACCGGCGAATCCTCTCAGATTTCTCAGGCTCCCAAGCATCCTCGGAGCGGGGAAAGACAGCGCACACGCGGATGGAGCTCAAAGCAGTTGTTAGCTCTACTGTTTGCACTAGGGTATGATCCTCGCTTAGGGTGCAGGAAATCAGGAGATCAAGTCCCGCACGAGCCTTTCTTCTCTCCTTTTAGGAGAATCCCGGTCCTGAGGTAACTAACAAGGAGGCAGTTACTATGCAAAATGTGGGAGCGGAAGGGAGAGAGGGAACAGACGGGCGCTCGGGAAAAGTGTCGATCCCTATCCTCCTCTCTACGTTGCCTCAGAGACTGGAAGTATTCCCTGTCCCCAAGTCTATGCGGTTTTTAGCAGAACCCAATGGCCTTAGGTATTTGTCCCAAGGACCTTCCGCAATGGCTCTGTATCTGCCCGGCTAGCTCAGCTGGCATTTGTAATAGAGAATTCAGTGTTTACTTTCCTACCAGAAAATGGGTATTCTTTCCCATCTCAAAACATTTGTCTTGTGGCCACCAGAGGCGAGGTGAGGGAAGGCGCGGGGGGAATTAGATGAAGGTAGTCAATAGGTACAAACTTCCACTTACAAGGAACTACTAAAGATGTAAATATAAAAAGATATAATGAAAGGTAATTAACACTGCTGTACGGTATAAGAAAGTTGTTAAGAGAGTAAATCCTGAGTTCTCGTCGCAAGGAAAAAAATTTTCCCCTCATTTTTAAAATGTATCTAGATAAGATGAGAGGTGGTCACTAAACCGGCTGCGGTAATCATTTCAAGATGTATGTAAGTCGAATAAACATACACAGTGCTGTATGTGAATTATCTCTCAGTAAAAGTGGGGGAAATTTTTTAAATGTTTATCTTAATGAATTTTCTCTTCTTTATATTTATGAGCCCTTAGTAAACTACTGAAACATCATAAAAACGATAAAGGAAACAGTAACACTCCTCATGACCCCAAGGTCACCTGAGCCTACTGTAGGTGTACCGTCTCAGCTGCCATTCCCTCAGCGTTTTCCCTGGGAAGAAGGTCCAGTCACCTGGGCATTCTACTTAGCCAAAATCCCTTGCAGAGAACTCCGTTACGCAGGTAGAATCATTTTTTTTCCCAATAAAATGGTGACTCAATCCTGGGTATATTCCTTATACTTAAATTGTTAAATATACATTCGCACTAGTCATGTAAGGGTATAATCTCATTGCAAGAAATCGAAGTAATCCATTAGATCTTTTTAAAACATTTTTATTGCGGTAAAAAATATATATAGTTAAATTTGACATTTTAACCATTTGTGAGTGTACAAGTTAGTGGCATCAGTTACATTTGCAATATTGTGCAACCTTGTTTATTCCCAAAACTTTTCCATCATGATAATCTATTATATTTTTTAACGAATCTGACCACTGACCCCTTGCGGGAGACCCACGCCCGCAGAAGACCAACCCCTCATCTGTACAGATTTTGTCATCTGAACTATATGCATGCAGCCAGTGCCCTTGGGCTTCCAGGGCTCACGGCCAGTGGCTTCAGTGTCCTCAGTCCCTCGGGGTCTAACCAGGTGCTCACATTGCCCTTGGGGTCACCCCGGGGTCCCGAGCTCCTCCGCTGCAGCTGCAGGGATGCGTCCATGGGACTGGAGGGCAAGTGACTGACCCTGCCCGAGTGTCCTAGGCCCTTGTAGTGAGCATTTCTGGAGAAAGGGAAAATTTTATGCAGAGGGAGAAAAAAGGTTGCTTTGCAACGACCACGAAGGGACTCGAACCCTCAATCTTCTGATCCGGAATCAGACGCCTTATCCATTAGGCCACGCGGCCCTGCGGCAAACAGCGTTATGGCTTTTCTCATAAAGCATACTCTGGCACCCGCTAGACATGCCCTAATGCGCATGCTCCTGGTAACCAGGCGCCCTGCCCCTCGAGTTCTGTGTGGGCTGGACTCCGCGCTGGGCTGCCGAGCTGGACAGAGCGCCCGCTGCTAGTGAAGGATGCGTAAGTGGTCTGTTTCTGGGAGTTCGAGCCTGGGTGAGGCTACCCAAGCCACTCCTGTCCCGAGAAGCTCCAGATATCTTCCCCGACCTGCTCCAGGGCCGCGCTGGATCAGGTGCTCCCCACTGCTCCCCTAGCCCCTTTGCTGCCCCATCACAGCACTGCTAAATCTTGCATAATCTGTTCCAGTCTTGTGGCCCCAGACTGGATTCTGACTACCATGTAGGCAGAGGCCAGAGTGTCGCGTGGCCCCAGCGTGGGGTGCAGGTGGGGTGCGTGTGCGGGAAGGACAATATGGACCCCAGGCTGCCCCTTCCCAGGACATCCAGCTCAGCCTAGCAGCCCATGATGGGTTTCTGAGGCGCGGATGCTGCCCGCGCTCCTCCTCGCTTCCTCCCCAGTCCACACCCGGTGGGCCCAGCCTCCGAAGTGCCAGGCACTTTGCATACATTATCTCACTTACTGTCGCACCTCCCAGAGAACAGGCACTATTCACGTATACAGCGATCATCATGTTTATTTCATACCAGCTGAGTCACCTGTGCTATCGCGCCCATTTTTAGATGAGGAAACCAAGGAGTGGATGGGGTCAGTAGTGGCGTTGGTCTGTGGCCACTCACTGTCAGCACTTCCTGGGTGGCGGCAGGCGCAGTCAGGACTGCAGACAGAGCCGGCGCCTCAGGGAGCTGCGGATCTCCAGACAGGCCTTGCGGCGCTCGTCAGAGTCGGGACCCAGCACCTCCAGCTCACACACCTGCCGATTGACCTGTGCGGACCACACTTAGCCTGTACGCAGGCCTGCCAGATCCCCCGGCGCCCAGCCCAGCCTGGCACCCAGTGTATTGTAAGGCCTAAAATTTGAAGTGCTTCCTTGACAACTTTGAGTTTCATAGGCCCCCCCTTGGTTTCCCCTCCTCTTGTCAGATGTGCTCCCTACCCCAAGCAGGAAGGGCACCCCACTGCGCTATTTCCCCCACCAGACAGACCAGCTGCACTCCACTCAGTCCTCAGCCTGAGGGTCTTCAGTTCCCTGTCAGCCTGTGAAATTATTCAAACAAGTGCATCACATCCTCCTGCAGGAACCAGGGGCACCTCATTCCTAGTTACTACAAAGCCTAAAAGGAAGCCCCTGCAGGTTCACTCTGCTCTCCAGAGCAACCCCTACTGGCTCTGCATGGCCTGAGGTGTCCTCCTCTTCCGGCTGTGAGTATATATGGCTAATAACTGCTGTCAATCTCACCTGTCCAGTGCCGGGTGTCCTGTGCCCAACCATCTCATGCTACTGAGGGTGGAGGATCCCTCCCTCAGTGATGAAGTGAATAGGTGATTAGAACGCCAGGGCTGGGGAGAAGGATGAATCTAGCTCCTCTCCTCAGGTTGTCACCCCCCACCCCCAACTCACCTCAGTCATCAGCTCCAGGAGGTCTCCCCTGGGGTCAGCTCTGAGGACCTCCACCAGTGTCTGGATAAAGTCTGAGCCCTTTTCATCCCGATAGGCTACACAGCCTAGGCCAGAGGACCAGGGCCAGAGCATCAGACTTGGGCCCCTCCCAGCTGCCTTCCAACTCCCAGGGGCCTATTGTTGGTGGAAGTGGGGTCAAGCCCACAGGACCCTGGGAATCAGGCCAGGGAATGGGGCAGGGAGTTGAAACTTCTTGCTTCTGGAACAAGTAGTTGCTCAATATTTGTGGAGTGAATATACAATGGATTCAGTATTGAAGAAACATTCACTGTGAACCTACTATGTGCCGGGCCCTGGACGGTGCCCTGAGACACACAGAACTGTCCTGCTCGCATGGAATTTACAGTCTAGAGGGAAGGATGCAGGTATAGTGCTTAGCAGAGTCAGCCCTTAGTGCTCACCATCATTTCTGTTACCATAAATAATAAACACAAAGGGAAGATGGCTTAACTGCATCTAGGCTGGGGCCCCTCCACCCCAACAGCCAAGCCCCAGATGCCCCTAAAGCCCACTTTCGATCTCTGACCAGGAGGCTGGGCCCCATGTAACAAGACTTCTTGCTGACCTGTCCCCTTACCTTCAGCTGCTGCGTAGACCATCAGGATGTCTGCTTGGTCAGAGCTCCCTGGAATGGGGCCCCTGGGGAAGCTGCCTGCAAGAGGGACCAACTCCATTTACGCAGCATCCTGGGACTCTGCTAGCCCCAAGGGTCTCCTCGGGTCTGACTCAAGGACACACAAGGCAGGAGAAAGAGAGCAGGGCAGGAAAGACGGATCAAGTTTCCAATCTCAGCCCTGATGCTTATCAGCCATGTGATCTCAGAAAAGCTATTTCACCTTCCTGTCTCCAGGGTTGTTTGGGGGGCTCATGCAGGGGAAGAAATCCTCAATTTTCAAAAGCCTTTGCCATTTAGAAAGATTTTCCTTCCTATCCTCTTGGCGAAGAGAGGAAGGAGGTGGTGGCAGAATCTCAGCTCAGAGCCTTGGAGATGCTCTCCAGATGGCTGCCTGCGCCAGCCCTGCCCAAGCTCAGGCTCTGGGAGGAAGGCAGACCCACCTTGCACATCAGCATAGATCTGGAGGATATCGGCTTGTGAAGGGGTGGCTGGTGGAGCCCGCAGCCAGCGCCAGAACCAAGGGAGAGCAGTGGGCCCCATGCCTGCATCCCTGTGCCCTGGGGCAGGAAGGGACAGTCAGGTCTTTTCACTCAGAAGACACCTGGGGATGCTCCCAGGTCTCTCACCCCTAGGCCCCAGAGTTCCTGGGCAGCCCTGCCAGGCTGGAAACATTCAGAGCACTGAAGGACAAGCGCAGAGGGTGAAGTGCTCTAGTTCACAGACTTGACCTCTGGGAGAAGCTGGCAGAGGGGGCGGGGAGAGGGTGGTGCTCAGGCTTCCTGGAGGAGACTGAGGCTGGATGAGGAGAATGAGAGCAGCTGGACCCCGCCAGGCCCCAGACCCTGCTCACCTCCACGGCAAGCCTGAAGCAGAAAGATCTTGGGGCAGCCAACCAGGGCCCCACAGCGGCTCAGCTCCTGCACCAGCACCTCTGGCTGCACCTCTTGCCCATCAGCCCCCAGTAGCTGTCCCTGAGGCCCACCATGGGCCATCAGGGCCACAAGCGCACAGCTCACAGGGACCTTGCGAGCGTCCAGCTGCTCCCGGAACTTGGCCATCTCCTCCTGGAAAGCCTGGGGGAGAGATGGAGGCCTGGGCCAGGGCCACTGCCTCCCTGGTGCCTGGTGGTCCTCCCTCCAGGTGGTTTTTCTAGCCCACTGCCCACACTGCCTTCCACCTCCTGCCAGCCTCAGGCCCAGGGAGCAAGTCTTTTTTCTAACCTCCCTGCTGCAAGGCCTGGCATGGCCTCATAGGAGGTGACATGTGGCTCCAGCCTCCTGCAGCTGGTTCTCTGGCCCCGGAGGAGAAGCTGCACCAAAAAGTAAAGAGGTGTGAAGGGAGGCAGTGAGCTGACAGATGTCTGGGAAGGAACCTGAGACCCTCCCAGAAAAGCCTGAGGGTCCAGTGAGGGCTGGGAGCAGGGGTGCAGAGAAACGGCAAGCATGGGAGGCCTCTGTGCTTCCAGAGGCAGGGAAGTGGGTTCCCAAAGCACGCAGCAGGGAGAGTGGAGGCTAGACTTCGGGGTGCACTTCCTGCCTATGATTGGCAAGAGGCCCAGGAGCGGGTCCTGGTGGGGGGCGCCCATCATTCAGGGCACCACCAGAAGTACTGGATATCCCCTCACCTGGGCTAGAGGGTCCATCTTCAGGGTGGTCTCGAAGCCCAGGGCTTGGCACAGGCCCCTCAGTGCCTCCACATCATGCTGGGCTCCAGGCCGGCCCTGGATCACAGCCAGGAGGAGGGCAGCCCGGGCCCCGGACAGGTCATACTGAGCACTGGGGCTGGGTTCTGGCTACAGACAGGGTTAAGGTTGATTCAGAGTGATCTGAGGCCCTCCCAGCTCCTCACCTCCCCACCTCAAGTCTCCCCGAGCCTCTATCCCACTCAAAACTACTGTCATGTGGTTGGTCCCCTGTCTTGTCCCCCTCACCTCTGGCCCCCAGGGCTCCACATCCCCTAGGCACAGGGCCCCCCGCAAGGAGCTCCGAAGGACCGGGCAGTAGGCAGCCCCTGAGGACTCTTCAGCAGTCCTGCAGAAGACCTGGGGAGGATGGGCCAGAGGACTCCTCAGGCAGCTGCTCCATGGGGTGTGGTTATGGGGGCGTGGGGGAGCAGGACCCTGGCTCCCCGAGTGGTCGTCATATGCTCATGACTACCACATTCTTTCTGGGGTCCCCTGCCAGAATGAAGGGAGGAGGACACAGATGAAGGAAAGGTAGGGCCTGAGGGTGTCCTAGTCCAGGCTCAACTCATCATTGGATTCTTAGGACATAAACAGCTTTGGAGGACTGTGGCCATACCATTGACCACACTGCTCCCCGGCCCACAGAGGTGGACCTGTCCAGGAAGTCTCACAGGAGGGCATCGCCGGGGGAGGGCACCAGGCTGGGCCCACTCCTCACCTCAAGGTCACCCAGTGACCACCCCACTTCCCAGTGAGACCTTTGGGCCTTGGGACCAAGCCTCAATGACCCCCAACCCTGGCCCCCAGGGGCCCCAAGTCTGATGGGCCAGTCACTGCTGGGTGAGTGTGAACAAGGGTGGACGGGAAGACAAGTGTTGACTCAAGCATGGCGAGGAACAGCATTGCTGCCAGCCTGGAAGGGACTGAGTGGAGATGGGACGACAGGGAGGGCACGAAAACCAAAGGAGCAGCTTGGGTAAAGGCATGGAGCTGAGAAGATACTGGAATGTCTGGGGGATCCTGAGTGGGTTGTGAGGAGGGGCAGGGGTGGGGGTAGGAGGTGAGGCTTTGAAGCTGACACCCACGTGTGGACAATAAAGGCTTACATCATGGAGTGGATGGGTGGGGAGCAACGGGTTCAGGACCACACAGCAGAGCCAGGGGAAGTGACCGGTGCAGCCCCCCTCCCTGGGACTCCCTTTCTGGAAACTTCACCTCCGTCAGCAGCTGCAGCAGGGACCAGTGAGGACAGCGGCCACAGAGCTCACCCAGGCTGGTGAGGAAGGCTCCGGGCTCAGAGGCAGCTGGGTGGAGAAGCAGTGCATTGGTCTGGAGGGAGGGTCTTGGCCCTCCTGCCCATCTCCGCCCTGGCTTTGCCGCGCCCCACAGGCAGGGTCCCTGCCCAGCCCACTCACCCCCAGGAGCGCTGGAGAGCAGCAGGAAGACTTTGGGGCAGCCATACAGGGCCCCACAGCGGCTCAGCTCCTGGACTAGCTGCTGTGGCTGTCTCAGCTGCTGGCTGGGGGCCACCAAGGCCACAAAAGCACAGCCCACAGGGCCCCCATGGGCATCCAGCTGCTCCCGGAACCTCACCAGCTCCCACTGGAAGCCCTAGGGCAAGAGCGAGTGCTGGGCCTGAGTCCAGGGAGGCCCCACGTGGGGCTGGGAGTGGAGAGGGGAGGCCGGAGTGGGCTCACCTGGACTGAGGCCTCCCTCCTCTGGCAGCTTTCAAAGCCCAGGGTCTGGAACACACCCTCCAGGACGGTGACTGTAGAGGCCGATACTTCAGGGCTGCTGAGCAGCAGGGCTACCCTTGGACCCTGCATGCTGTACTTGCCCTGGGGAGATAAGGCCAGAGTTGGGCTAGGGTGGGTCTCCGCTGGGAGCCAGGGATGGGCTGGGTCAGGCAGTGCCCCCAACTACCTTTCTTCCCAGGCTCTCCCAAGTATCTGCCATCTGTGAGGCCACCCGCAGGGTCCCAGCCACCAGGAATGCCATGGTGGTGAGACGGGGATCTCCTCCAGGCACAGACTTCCTCTTCTGGCCCCAGTGCCAATGCTCTGGGCCCCAGTCCTTGCCCTCTCCCTGAGTCCTGTTCTATCAGTTCTGTTTATGGGTTGAGCTGGACTCTGCCCCCTGTGCTGGAACCCTGGGTCCGGGTCTCTGTGCCCCGAGGCCCTGCTCTGTTCCTTGGCTCCAGCAGGATCCTTTCTGGCTGGCACTAACATGCCCCCACCTGAGCCAGGAGCCTGTCTGTGTCCAGTCCTATTCTTAGCTCCTGGCCCTTCTCCTATCTGATCTCGTTACACCCGAGTGTCTCCCTTCTGAGCCGGCCACCAGCACCAAACATTCCACGTACTGCTCCGGACCTATCACCCTTACTCACTCATTCAGGGTGCCCACACACATGCGCACAGCAACTGCGAGCCCAAGGGCATGGGCAGCGGTGGAGAGCGCCACCCCATGGACAGAAACCCCCAGCTGGACTCAGCTGTCCAGTGAGACCCTTGTTGCTTCATTTTGGAAATGAGGTCCATCCGATAACCTCAGGATGAAGCCAGGTTAAATGGGAGGGCAGACAGGCTGGCACATAGACTAAGGGACAAAAGATCTTGTCTCAGCCCTCCCCCACCGCCTCTCAGGTGGCCTGCTGAGTACAAGGTGCTCCAAGCACCTTCTCTGCAGGGGCCCCAGCCTGTGGCCAGGCACAGGAGGGTCAGATGTCAAGGGCTGGGTGGGGATGGGGCATGGCCCATTTTGACTGTCTCTCCAAGGGATATGAGCACAGGGGGTCCAGCTTAGAGTTCCAGATCCCCTACGGGTAGCACGAGTGTACCATCGCCTGACCAGTCACTGCCTTCGAGCCTGTTTCCTTATTTCACCAAAGGGAGAGGAGTGGCCTGGTGATGACCCCAAGTCCCACTCAGCTCCTCCAGTCTCCTGCTGGGGTCGGGAGGGGTGCCACCAGCTGTCCATCCTCAGCTGTCCTCAGACCAGGACAGGCACTGGTCCCAAGGTTCATGGTAGCCCCTGGGTCCCAGCTGACCTGGAAGCCACGGATGTAGCTCACATGCCACCAGGACTACCAGGTCAGGAGGCCCAGGGGTATGAATTCCAGGTCCTCCACTCCCCCACCCCCAGCAGCCACCTAAAGAGCAAGAACAGCCTGGAGGAAGTTTTCATCTTTATTCAAACCTTTCTGCTGCCCATTTGAGGTCAGCTGGGCCAGCTCCTTGGGAGGGCCTGTGGTCTGTCCCTGTGAATGCCCATCTGCATGGAATGCAGCATGACGGCAGTCAGTGACAGTGACAATGTCAGGCTGATAAGAGTGCTAGTGTTAAGTACCATGAACCCCATGACTCTGGGGAAGAGGGGAGCATCAGGAAGCAGCAGGCCCCCACCCGGCCCTGTTCTGGGTCTGCACTGTTGGTCTTCTGTCCCTGGAGCCAACACCACCCTCCCCAGACAGGTCGGGGGTGACTCTCAGGAACTTATAGCAGGAAGGGAGGGGCAAGTCACCTAAGAGCAGAGGCAGACAGCTTCCATGCCACTGGGACAGGGCAGAGTGGTCAATGCCTGGAAATGGGAAGGGGTGGAGGCCAGAAAGCCCCTGTGGCCACACCCAAGACCCAAATCCTCACAGGTGTGGGCTGACTGTCCCTCCCAGAGCCCAGCAGCACCCTGAGGCTTAGGCTCCAGCCCCGCAGGAAGGCACATGTTGGCCAGACAAAAGGCCCAGCCCATGGACCCAGCTGAGAAGGCAGGGAACAGAGCTCCAGGGCCAAGCAAGGCTGAGGGGGGTTCTGGGATGGGGACCCTGGGCCCTGCCCAAGTCCTCATACTTTCCTGATGCTCCAGACTCTCCCCCATGCTCTATCCACCGGCCTGGAATGTGCTGGGGCTCCAGGAAACCATGGAAGAGGAAAAATCCTGGAGCAGAAAGGGGCACGGTGACCAGGCCACAGGGGATTTCTCTTCCTTGGGGGTGTGAGCCAGGTTCCGAGTGGGCAGGGCAGGCAGTTCTGAGGAGTATGAAGTGCCCTGCAGTCCCACCAGCAGCGGGATGGTGGATTCAGACAGATGCCCCACTGCAGCCAGGCCCCACCAGCCCTCACCCCACGGGCTGGGCCATCTTGGCGTGCAGGCTCTGGTGGGCAATGAGGTGGGCGCGCTGCTTGAAGCTCTTGTCACACTCGCCACAGCCGAAGGGCCGCTCACCCGTGTGCACGCGCCGGTGGTCCAGCAGGTAGGAGCGCAGCGAGAAGCTCTTGCCGCAGTCACTGCAGCCGAAGGGCTTCTCGCCCGTGTGGATGCGCTGGTGGTCCGCCAGGTAGGCGCTGCGGCTGAAGCTCTTGCCGCATTCGGAGCAGGAGAAGGGCTTCTGGCCCGTGTGCACGCCCTGGTGGCGCACCAGGTCCGAGGAGCTGCGGAAGCTCTTGTCACACTCCTGGCACTTGTGCGGCTTCTCGCCCGTGTGTGTGCGCTGGTGGCGCGCCAGGTCGGAGCCCCAGCGGAAGCGCTTGCCGCACTGGCCGCAGCTGTGCGGCTTTTCCGACGCCAGGTCCCGGAACTGCCGCCGGCGGGTGGGTGGCCGCC